GGTCGTCAAGTAATTGCAGTTGCAAGAACATGTAGTCTTATTTTTATTGTTTTGGATGTTTTAAAGCCCCTTCAGCATAAAAGGCTAATTGAACATGAATTAGAGGGCTTTGGGCTTAGATTGAACAAACAGCCACCAAATATATCATTTCGGAAAAAAGACAAAGGAGGAATAAATTTGAATTGTATGGTAAGCTTTTTAAAAGTTATATTAAATTTTAACCTGTACTTACAAATAGTATGTATAACGTAAGGAAAATTGTTTTTTTAAGGTTTCTCAATCAGAATTAGATTTAGATACAGTAAGATCAATTTTGTCGGAATACAAAATTCACAATGCTGATATTACCTTAAAATATGATGCAACCAGTGATGACCTAATTGATGTAGTGGAAGGAAATAGAATTTATATGCCGTGTATTTATTTACTAAATAAAATTGGTGAGAATATCTTTTTCTTATGATCAGGGAAGATTCTTATTGAGAGAAAATTTGCAGATCAAATTAGCATCGAAGAACTAGATGTTATCTACAAAATTCCCCATTGTGTTCCCATTTCAGCTCACCACAAATGGAATTTTGATGATCTCCTAGAAAAGATGTGGGAATACTTAAAACTCGTAAGAATGTAAGCTAAAAACATTAGCTACTTTTTTTTGCTTGTTTAATTGTTTTATATGCTTTAATTGTTTCAAATCAAAAATGCGGGCTTTTATCTGTTTCATATGTATGTATAGGGACCATAAAGAAGAAATAATGGATTTTTTTTTATTTTAGTTACACAAAACCTAAAGGACAACTCCCTGATTACAATTCTCCAATAGTTCTTCATGCCGATAAAACAACAGTTGAAGATTTTTGCAACAAGTTACATCGGAGTATAGCAAAAGAATTTAAATAGTATGTTTATTAATTTGAATTTAAAATATACACAGATTATGAAAAGGACAATTGCCTTGTTCTGTTAGTTTTTCTGTGTATATTAGAATGAAAGTTTATACAATAAGACATGAGGTGCATAAAAGTATGCTAAATCTCAAATATGAAGATATTTTTTCAGTTTTAATGAGCGATTTCAAAGTTTCTAATAAAAACCGCCATCATGTCATACAAAACCTATCAAAATAATGCTCTCTTTGATGTGTAAATGATAACTGAATGTAAATAATGCAGATGCAAGGCCGGAGGTAAAGCTTGAATCTAAAAATACTAGGGTTTGTGGCCTAAAAAGTCGTATCAAAAAACATTTGACAAAAAGAAAAGAATTACGAATTAATCAAGTCAATTGTTCACCATTAATTACACACCACAGAGAGCATTATTATTCAATCGATTTGGCATCATTTAATGTGAAATATGATTAGAAATATGATTAAATTATGAAGTTATTTGACCATATAGCCCACTCATTCTGCAGGTATTCTTATTTCTCTTTTTTGGGAATTTATTATCTTGTTTAATTTGATTATTTAATAGATGCTCCAAAGGCACGATTTATTATTTAATTTTTTTGATAAATAGTTCGTTTTAATAGCAAAGGGTGATTGAAAGTTTATTGGTGTCCTTTTGAATGGTTTCTTTATGACATAAAATAGCATTTATTGTCGTTTGTATATACAGTTTATTTATTTAAAGCTTTATGAATTTTTAATTTTTTTTTTCTTAATTAGTGCTCTTGTTTGGGGTTCTTCCGTGAAACATCAACCTCAGAAAGTTGGGAAGGAGCATGTTCTTGCTGACGAGGATGTCGTTCAGATCGTTAAAAAGGTGTAACACAGCTTTTCCAGTAAGCGGAACATCAACAATTGGTGTATTTGTATAATATTTAAGTGAAAATAATATTATATATGATACAACAAATGAATTATTTCTCTAGCAGTGCAAATTTCTATAAAAATAAAAAGTATACGTCTTGTTATGCATCCGTGTGTACTTCATTGAGAAATAATAAAGAAAGACAGTACTGAAGTTATTGGTGTTTTATTGCTAACAAAAAAAAATGTTTTCGAAAATATAGAAATTTGTATACACAGGGTGGTTTGTTGCAAGAATGAATTTCGAATAATGTAGAAGTCACGTCGTTTGTTTCCAGATGAACATATATGTGTATGTATACAGGGTGGCCCAAAAAGTACGAAATATGCTCACTGCGATCAAACTATAAGTTAAGTTGAAAAATTTTTCAAACAAAACTTGTTGCCTATTTTAATCCTAGATTGTCTGTATTATCAAAATCAGATTTACTATACAGAGTGTTCAAAAGTAAAAAATATATTGTTTCGTTTATATGGCAGCCATATGAAACATGGTTTCA